AACTGGTGAACCCCCGCATCCTGTAGGTCAGCACCACTCACCAAGTTCGTAGAGAACGAGGGGAGGTAGAGACCAGACAGGGTGCCAGAGGGGGCCGCCGGACACGGGAGGACAGTGGAGAAGTGAGCAAGGACAGGACCTCCAGAGGGGTCTGCCAGAGAGACCGCAACTGGCCGGCCAAGCGGCGTGAGTGTGGTGCGGTCTCGAAAGAAGGAGCGAGAAGCCCCCGAGTCAAGGGTGAAGGTGTGGGAGGCCGAAGCCGACGCAGAACCTGAGAGAGCAGACTCACCAGCACCTGAGGGAGCAGACGCACCTAGAGCAGCAGCCACGCTAGCACCTAGAGCAGCAGCCTCACCAGTACCTAGAGCAGCAGTCTCAATGCCCGGGTCGGGCGGAAAACACCGGTAACAGTCACCCTCATCACTAATAGTCACAGTATACACGGCAGCAAGAATAGCATCAAAGTCAAGGTCAAAGACAGCTACACCCGCCCTAGACAGCTCACCCCAGCGGGGGATCTCAGTGGCCTCAGGGAACTGGTGACGCCAAGCGTCCGTCAGGCGGCCAAAGCAGCGCTGGGTGGAGTGCGCACCCCCGCACTGCTCACCCGCGCGGTCGCCGGTGCGCAGGACGTAGGTGCACGGACCAGTACCCCCACCCCTCTGGCGTGCAGTGTACCACTCACGGAGCTGCTGAGGGGAGGGGACGTCACGAGTGCGCTGCTGCTGCTGCTGCTGGTGCTGCTGGCGCTGACCACCACCGGAGCTGACCCTCTGCGCAGCGCCACCCCGACCAGCTCCACCTCCTCCGCCGCCTCCTCCTCCACCGCCGCCACCTCCGCTCCCTCCGCCACCGCCGCTGCCTCCTGCGCCTCCACTGCCGCCACCTACACCTCCACCCCCGCCACCACCCCCACCGCCACCCCCACCTCCTCCACCGCCTCCACCGCCGCCTCCACCGCCCCCGCTAGCTCCTCCAGCGCCCCTGCCCCCCTTGCCCCTGCCAGGGCGGCGTCTCCCGCTAGGGGTAGACGCTGCCCCAACCGACTCCAAACCAGCGAGGTCGGCCGCAGCAGCAGAGGCAACAGAGGGCAAAAGAGGGGAGGGGGAACACCCCTCAAAGATGGGGGTGCGAGGGTCACCACGAGAGGCTCCTACAGCGACTATGCTCTTTTCTGCTGCTAGGAGGGCCTTCTCGAGGAGGTCAACGGTGAGAGTGGTGGGACAAACCGAGAGGAAGTGGTCCCTGACTACGCGAAGGGAGTCAGGGAGACGGGTGACTATGTAGTAGAGGGTGATGTACATGGGGGGGGGGTTCTTGGCGCAGAACTCAGCAGGAAGCGCAGCGCGGTAGCGAGTGTCAATAGTGCGGAGGTGCGTAATGAGGTCAGCGACTGTGGGAAAGGCAGCAAGGTCAGGGAAGAGGTACGGTAGCATGAGGCGGCTCAGTGCAGCAGTGGCAGGGGAGGAGTAGCGTGCAACTACAGCGTCGTACAAGGTCTGAGCACTCTTGTACTGGCTAAAGTGCGTACGCTCAGAGGTAGGTAGGTGGCGACGCACAGCAAGACGTGCAGCAGCATCGCGCGTGGCCCACTGTGAGCGAACAGTGGCGTCAGCATCAGCAGCGGGGGCAGGAGAGGCACCAGAAGTGAGGTCAAAGAGGGAGAGGCTGTCTGCTCTGTCGCACTGTAAGAAAAGCTGCAGGTCATCTACCCAGACGTCAAAGTCAATGGCCCGACCCTCAGCGTCAAAGGCGAGGACACTAGGGGTAGCCATGACAGCAGTAGACTAGCAGTGCAAACAGTAGGGCGAGGGCAGTGCTGTGAGAGAGGCGCTGCTCTTACCGGACAGGGCGGTTCGGGCGGCTCGGCTGCAGGGCGGCTCGGCGGCTCGGCGGCTCAGCGGCTGGGCGGCTCGGCGGCGGGGCGGCTCGGCTGCTGGGCGGCTCGGCTGCGGACAGGGCGGCTCGGCGGCTGGGCGGCTCGGCGGCTCGGCTGCTGGGCGGCTCGGCTGCTGGGCGGCTCGGCTGCTGGGCGGCTCGGCGGCTGGGCGGCTTGGCTGCTGGGCGGCTCGGCGGGGCCGCTGAGAGGGCGGCGTCCGGGGCCGCTGGGAGGAGGCGGCGGGGCCGCAAAGGTAAGTGGCGGGGCCGCGGAGGTAGGTGGCGGGGCCGCACAGTGAGGTGGCGGGGCCGCGAGGGTAGGTGGCGGGGCCGCTCAGGTAGGTGGCGGGGCCGCGGAGGTAGGTGGCGGGGCCGCACAGTGAGGTGGCGGGGCCGCGAAGGTAGGTGGCGGGGCCGCACAGGTAGGTGGCGGGGCCGCGGAGGTAGGTGGCGGGGCCGCACAGTGAGGTGGCGGGGCCGCGAAGGTAGGTGGCGGGGCCACACAGGTAGGTGGCGGGGCCGTACAGGTAGGTGGCGGGGCCGCGGAGGTAGGTGGCGGGGCCGCGAAGGTAGGTGGCGGGGCCGCACAGTGAGGTGGCGGGGCCGCGAAGGTAGGTGGCGGGGCCGCACAGGTAGGTGACGGGGCCGCGGAGGTAGGTGGCGGGGCCGCACAGTGAGGTGGCGGGGCCGCGAAGGTAGGTGGCGGGGCCGCACAGGTAGGTGGCGGGGCCGCGGAGGTAGGTGGCGATGGGCGCGACGGGCGCGACGGGCGCGACGGGCGCGACGGGCGCGACGGGCCGGGAGGGCGGCGCGACTCGGGCCGGCGCAAAACGCGCTCCGGGCAGGAAAAAAAAATTTCGTGGTGGTGGGCCCTAGGAATCGTTCCCACTAGGGAACCTGCTCGATACCATGAGAAGAAACGAGGAATGGATGAACTATGAATGAATTGGGTACAAGTACTAACCCTAATTGGGTTGTACCCCTTATGGAGTACCCCACTATAGCCTACACAATATGCATGAGCTATAATGGTCTGACATGTTGACCTTTGGGTGACTCTCGATCTTCCGCATGCTCTATATGAGCTATTGCGGTACTGCTAAGAACGCGTTGTTTCGTTATGAAGTGACGCGTGAGTGGAGATCCTTCGGGAATGTTGCTTTGACCTTTCGGTTATTCCAATAGGACCTGCAGCGGAATACACCAACAACTTAGTCGTTAACCATTAAGAGCGAAGCACAGCTGGTCGTTGTCCAATCATCTTCATCCTGCGACCGTGGGCGACGCCGATCGATCACAGCTGTCACATGTGGCGCGATGTGCTCTCCCGCCAACCCAACCAGGCATTGGCGATGTCGCCAATACACTATACAAGCGGCACATCGATCCCCTCCCACGATCGATCCTGGCAAAATCAAAACAGGTGCCGCGTCCTAAGAAAAGGGTGATTGTGAGTGAGGTTTGTTCATAAAGGTGTAACCATACAAATAGAAGCAGTTGGAACACATGAATAGTTTACTTTCTTTATTTTCGACTAAGTGCTTCAAGCTTGTGATGATATAAAAACAAGATGCAAGATAGCAATTTGTGGATTTTTTTTCCGACACCACATTTTATCCGGGCATGAATCCTTCGTGCTTATCTTAGCCCAACAGGGTGGGTGGGTCCAAACAGGGCCCACGATATTAGGGCAAAACATCCTGATTACCCTGATTTTAGGATGGTGTTCTAAGTTTGCCCTGGAATTTCAGAATGACGCTGAAATTCACCCAGTGACGTCAGGATGATTCACGTGTTTTGCCCTGGAATTTCAGAATGCCAGTGAAATTTTGCTCTGAAGCGTTAGGGTGAATGTAGAGGGATGCCCTGACTCGTGGGAAGGGGAAGAAGGGGTGGAGGGGGGGAGAGGGGGAGAGGGGAGGAAGGAGGCTGGGGGGTGTGTGTGCTAGTTTTGTCCCCACCCCTCTGCCTCCAAAGTTTTTGCTCAGCCAGTTGTAGTGAAACCACTGGACAACCTGCTCCTCTCGTGCCTTCGCCTCTTGCTATTTTTACCATGAAACATCCATATGAATTTCTGCTTGTGCCCTGAAATTTCAGGATGGCCAGGGACTTTTGCCCTGAAAAATCAGGGAATTTGAGAAAGTTTTCAAAAGTTGCCCTGAGGGCTCAGGGTGCCCTAAATCCTAGCACAGGCCCTGAGGCCAAAGTCCCAAAGACGTTTGGGCTGGTGAGTGGAATTTCAAGACCACCCTAATTACGTGGAAGCACTATACAGGTTTCTTGAAATCACGAAATTAAAATTTATAGAATATCGTGCTGTGCTGTTCTCAAAAACCGTTTGATTGTTATGTATTCTAAAAGTCATGAATCATTCAAGTTAGTGGCTCCCTCACTGTCATTTACGTTCTGTAGATTGACTGTTTGGAAGTGACCTGAAATTCAGCGTGACTGCCTTGTAAAGTGGTGATTCAAGAGCAGTTGTATGTGGACTGATTTCTGTTTGCTCCATTGTCGTCTTGCGACGTCGTTGACATGTGTGCATTCACTTGTAACCTGATGCTGTTTCGCCAATTATATCGGGCCCACAAACGAATCGATTTGCGAAACACCGGTTCAAGCAATTGGTCCTCCTTGATGACAGTGACGATGGGAGTAATCTTCAGTCCGAAACACAGACGTTTCAGGTAGTACTTTGTCTTTTCTTTGACCTCCCAACACCTGCGTTTCCCCCACACCAATTCCTTCCACACGTAACCCTCTCGTGCCTACACCTCAACAACCCCCGCACAGGTATTCAGGTGATAACCAACAGAACAGGTGGTCTCTGTAGCTGGACTCTGGCAGCCCAGACACCCAGGTCGAGCGGGGTTTCGCTAGCACGTCTTTCGTCTCCCTTCACTTGTCGCGTAGCGCCAAGCGTTTCCTCTCTCTCGCTTCGTGTTGCCCCCTGGCTCCCACTCTCAGAGCATCCTCTCATTCTCGCTCTAGATCTTGAATTGCACGACAACCGCATCATCAAGTCCCCTTACGATAGTCAATCACCTTTCTGAGAGGTGTCTGAGCCTAAGTGTTGTTTAGTTGTGAAACTTCCAAGGAACCCTAGATTCTCCTTCTCAGCAACCATGGCGAGCTCACGCGTCCTCCTGCTGTCTCTCCTCGTTGTGTTAGTCTCAGCGAAATTCGCGTACGGGCAGATTCGTGAGAAAGCCTGCCTTCCCAAGGACAAGTGCCCTGACCGAAAGAGCAAGCTCTGCGGCCTCTACGCCACGTGCAGGACTCTTAGAAGCATTGTCCCCGAACTCTACGGCTGCGACGAATGTGCTGCTTTCGACCTGTACGATAGCCGTTCATTACCCATCCCCTAACTCAGTACCATTGTGGCGTTGCGTAGGGCGTCGAGTGGCAGCTAGCCGATGATAGCTTCTTGTCGCCTGAGTGCGTCATTTGTGTAGCAAGTTCTTCAGTCCTTAAATGCTTTGTCGAAGCCTTCTATTCCCGATGCCTTGAAAGGCTTCTCACTCGATATTCTTACATCGTGTGTCGCATACCGATCGATTGCTCTTGGCAGGAAGAAGATGCCTCCTAGTGCCTGCAACTACACGACCGGTCGCTGCCTCGCCAACAAAATCGTAAGTCCGAATTCCTAACATTGTTTCGGCGTACGTGTTCTACATGCTCCCGCAAATTGCGTACGCTCTGACCCGTGTATGTCTGTCGTTCTATTCGCAGGACGGCAAGTCCTGTACCGCGAAGATGTTCAATACGGTGTGCGATAGGAAGGAGCCCGCGTTCTCGTGCCAGAAGGTTGAAGGCGTTCCCGTCACCAAGAAGGCACCCCAGTTGTACCGCTGCTGCAGGAGGACTTGCCCCCCTGGCCTGTGCGGAAAGGGCTCGAAGCCGATCCAGTGGAGGAACAACTGCAATGTTCTTATCGACTGCCCTACTGCTTGCGCTCCTCGTGCTGCGAATGCTGTCGCGGTTATATATCTGTAATCTGGTAACCCGCTGAGCTTCGCCGTATAATCTTCACTGTACCATGTTTAATTCTGGTTTCGTTCTTTTGGTTTTGGTAGGTGAATTTGTTTGACGCTATGTCCTGCTATTATAATGGCCTTAAATTCCAAGAAGCATCTCATGATGCGCATCAAAACGGATTACAAATATGTTACATGCCACGCTTAGTTAGGAATATTTATCTCATAGTCGACAACCTACGTTAATATCCCAGTAACACCAATGGATTACGCCCAGGAACATCATATGCGGTATGTTATATCACAACGACCCAATTTTCAGACCTTGAGAGCGTGCTCCTCTTGTCTGACTCACATCGTACCGCTTTGTAACACACGTAACCAGTCAATCGCACTGAAATGCATTGAACCACACAAATTCGACAATAGGTATGTTTGATAAGAGGCTGTAGAAACTCGCCCTTAATCTGCATACCCAACATGCCAATTCCGTGCAGAATTGATTAGTCAATATTCTAATCCAACTACCATCCAATCCCATGCTGCAAAACACCTGATGTAAGAATGCACCTAATTAGCAACTCAAATTGCAGAGTCAATATTGCATAAACGTAGTTCGCAAGGAACCAAATACTCACAGATTAGCAAGACTCCTAGTCTTTGGATGTGAGGACAAGTATAGCAAGAACCCCGATAAGAATGAACTGCAGCGTAGGGGAAAGGAAAAAATGCGTGGAGGGTAGGGGAGAGTGAGAGCATGGGGGGAGCGGGGATGTACAGCAGGCCCTCAGATTGGTTGTGGGCTAGTCTGAAAAATCAGAGTCGGTACACGACTTAAATCTGAAAATCAGAGTTTTTCCTGCAGAAATACCACTGCACACTAGAAAAAATAGCAGTTTTCCTGGTTTTTCTCAAAAAAAGGCTGAATTTTCAGAGTTCACTTCGAAAAAAGGCTGAAATATCAGAGTTTTTAAGGCAAATCAGAGAAATTTCTCTGACTTCTGGGGGCCTGATGTACAGAGTAATTAGTGTTACACTACTTTGATGTAACTTTACCTTGACGCACACATGTGTGGACTTATAACGAGGTAGTTAGTGTTGATGTACCTTGATGCACACATATCTGTACTTACAACAAGGTAGATTGTGTTACTGTACCTTGATGTAGGGGTGCTCAGTCATAATAATGGTGACGTAGCCAATATAGGGGAGGTATCTGCACAGGAAGGGGATAAGGGACACAGCCAATCAGTACACAGGGGCAAATGAATCTCTGATGTGACGGGTGAGAAAGTATGCACAGCAACCAGAAATGGTGATGTAGTGATATGCAGGCAGTACCTGCACCAGGAAAAGTGCACACCAGTACAAAGCAATCAAGCACACAACTCTTCTCATTCCCAACCCTCCACTCACCCCATAGCGCGCCGAATGATGTGCTTCTTGCACAGCCACAGCTGCCCCCCCTCCCTAGGTGAATGACACTCCCTACCCGCATCCTCCCAGTTTACCCATCCCATCCTACAGTTCACGCCCCACTCGCCCCACGCACGGCCCACTCGGCCCATGCAAGCCCCATGAACGCCCTACTCACCCCATGGCGCGCCCAATTATGTGCTTCTTGCGCAGCCACAGCTGCCCCTCCGCATACAGAGGCAGATCGTCCCCTTCGTTGTTGTCACCTGCTCATAGGGAACGCACAAAAAAAAAAAAAAAAAACAAACAAACAAACACACACACACACACACACACGCACGCACGCACACACACACACACACACACACACGCACACACACACACACACACACACACACACACACACACAAAATGAGGAAAATTTATCGAACAAAGAAACCATGCATGATGCATCGAAAAGGCACCCTTCAACACGAGCACATGCACATGTCTTTACACACCGTCACTGGCAAGAAGGCAGGCAGGAGAGAAGGCACGCGTGGCGAGAATATTTTTTAGACGGCTAAAAAACCGACTCAATACAGGACGGATTTTGAGTCGACTAAAAAAAAAAAAAAAAAAAACGACTCAACACAAGGATGTCTCGAGAGGGCGTGAATCAAAAGAAGGGAAGCGGGGAGGGAGTGCGGATTGCCTAGCCTACCTTTTGTGAGCGCCTGAAACTCGTCAGGGTCTGCCTCTTGATGGACCTGGGGGTGGGTGGGGTGGACAGTTGTGTGAACAGAGGGACGAGAGGAGTGGGAGGAACAGGCGTGTGAAAGCGGAGTTTGAGAATTGTTCGAGACCGCCTGAAACTTTTCAGGGTCGGGCTCTTGGTGGACGTGGGGTGGTGTGAACAGCCGCGTGAACAGGCAGAGGAGGGTGAGTGAGAGAGAAGCGGGAAGAATTGCAAGAAGTCGCTGTGTCTAGTAGCAGAAACGTAAGAGAACTTAGCCAAGGAGGATGAGGGGATTAGAACAAAAAGGGCTTCACAACGAGACCATCATTTGATCATATTGAGTTGACGCATCTGAGAATGCGGTGTATTCTAAAGGAGGTGCATGTACCGAAGTTAGAAAGGCAGATGTACCTTGATAACACGGTGGACAATGGGGATGTCTCGACCCTGTGTGTGAGAAAATAAAAAGACAAAGGAGTGGCACGGAAAAATAAGCGAGAATCGTAAAGAAAAGGATAAAGTAAATAATGTCGAAGGTTACTGCACAGTTGCATAGCACAATCCACTAAGGTTAATACAGGTGCTAGTGTTGAGAAAGAAAGAAAGAAAGAAAGAAAGAAAGAAAAAGAAAGAAAGAAAGAAAGAAGATGAAAGACACATTGCGTGAAACGACTCACATCCACGTGGCATGACTCACATCCACGTGGCATGACTCACATCCACGTGGCATGACTCACATCCACGTGGCATGACTCACATCCACGTTGAAGACCACAATCTCTCCCACAGAGAGTGGCGTTGGGTTCATGTGGAGAAAGAGAATGTCTCCCTGCGGAAGGGAGGGAGGGAAGGCGGAGGGAGTGAGAGAGGGAAGGCGGAGGGAGTGAGGGAGGGAGGCAGAAAGGCATGAAGATAGGGAGGGGGGTTGAGGAGGAGGGAACGGGGAAGGGTCTGAACGGCGTAGGGTTCATGTGGAGAGAGAATATCGCCCTGCAGAAGGGAGGGCTGGAAGAGGGAGGAAGAGAGTCAGGGAGGCATAGGCAGAGAGATAAAAGGGGGGGGAGGGTGTGGGAGGGGGGGGGAGAGTGTGGGGTTGAGGAGGAGGGAACGAAGGAGGGTCTGAGCGGCGTGGGTTCATATGGAGGAAGAGAATATCGCTCTGCAAGGGAAGGAGGGGGGAAGAGAGGGAGGGAAATAGACGGGCACCGAAGGGGAGGGAGGGGGAAGGGTCAGAGAGTCGTGGGGTTCATGTGCAGAAAGAGAATTTTGCCCTTTAAGGGTGGGAGAAGGTTGAGGGGGGAGGCTCTGAGTGGCATTGGATTCATACGGAGAAAGAATGGAGGGAGGGAGAGATGAGATGATGCATGGAGGGGAGAGACATGAAGTCTTGTACAACTGGCACACATGCAATGCAACACCACAGCACTGGTCCGTCTCATTTCTGTAAGCATCACAAGCCCAAAACGTTGCTACAAACGCAGCAGAGCTCGTACGCGTTTGAAGCCACGGTTCCACCCATGCAACCCAAGAGCAGTGACAAGACAAGGGGTTTCCATTCCATGGAGAGGGGAGAAGGGAGGAGGCACATGTGCATAAGCCCCTGTACACTATTCGTTATAAGGCCAGGACAACTCGTACTCGTTTGAAGCCGGGTTCCATGGAGCCTGAGAGCACGACGACAACTGGAGACTCGCTATTGGTCCAGCACATGAGACCCTTCCAGATGACCAGCGCTGACGTCACTATCATGCCTGGCAGACGAGCAATGGCGGGGATGGTAGGAGAAGTGACGGGGGGACGGATGGAGGGAGGTAGAGGGGTACAAATTGACGGAGGGAGGGTGGAGGAATGGTTAAATGGTGGGAGGGAGAGGGAGAGGGAGAGGGAGAGGGAGAGGGAGAGGGAGAGGGAGAGGGAGAGGGAGAGGGAGAAGCAGAGAAGTTTTATGGGTGAAAATAGAGAGACGGGAAGACGGAGAGAGGGTTACTTTAACGCCATTACCAGTGTCAGAGTATTTGCCAGATTTTATAAGTTGGTCATGGAAGGGTGGTTCTCTGGACTGGGGGGGAATGAGTCATGTTTGGGCTGCGGGAAAGTCCTCGCTCGCAGTTTTGCTTCTCTGCGTCAACGGCATTCTAGATTACGGAGAACGAATCCTTGTCAGCAACTAGGATCACGATCCCGCTTCAGATCTGCGCGAAATTAAGAGGGCCAGACAAATGACTCCACGAAATCCCACTGTTCACCAACATATAGGTCGACCCAGGCAACGCTAGGAAGCATAGCAAGAACCAGAACCACCGCTTCAATTTATTACGATCACGCATCCAGCCCGCTGGTTCGGTTCCGCCCGTTGGATTGACCAGAGGACGAAATCCAACCAACCCTAACGGTCGAGTCGACGCGCACAGTCTCACGCAGGTCGAATCGCCTAACTTACGTGACACACAAAAGGCGTTTTTGTACAATTCCGAAAGAAATCGGCCGATTTATATAGCGCACAGAGTAATCCTAGCGACCGATCGCACGCACCTAACCCGAGCGCCTGCATGATAAAGTGTCGCACGCTCATCGCGTCGAACCACCCGCCGGTAGACATGGCTGCCGGCAGGCTGACAATAACCGGTTACAGCAGCAACAGACGGCAGTGATGAAACGAGTAATTTAACACACGGCAATCCCAGGAATGTACGGAGAACTCGCCGTAGGATGCGGGATGCACGTAGATCCCAAGGCTGTACAAGCCTGCAGTTTCCAAAATGAAATTTCCCTCCAGTGCAGGTTTTACTGGGAGTTTCGGTAGAGGGATTGCGGGCTAGGAGATTGTTGACATTCTAACGCGTACGTTAGCGGATACATGCTTACGATATAAAAATAACTATAAAAAAAACCTCTCCAGTAAACTTTAATTTCCATTGAGAGCCTAACTTAATAGCAAAAATACCAGGTCGAAATTCCATAAACATTTTACATCATTAGTTTTTTTTAAGACACTAATATTGACGTCTTGTTCCACATTTCATCCAACAATATACCGTATTTACCCGGGTAAAGGACCCTAGGGTCTAATCCTACCCCGGGAAAAAAGGGGGTGTGGCCCGTGGGCTATGAAGTGGGTGTAAATTTTATAGACCTCGGGTCCAATCCTATATGCTTAAATTTCGAAGTAATGTCAAATACCTGCAGTGTACATAACGAAATGCTACCACTTTAATAATGGGGAAAATATGTCAATGGTAACTTACGTGGGGCAGTATAACGCGTACGGTAACGATTTCAACGCGTTTGGTAACTCGCTTAACGCGTTTGGTAACTCGCTTAACACGTTTGGTAACTCGCTTAACGCGTATTGTAACTATACACTAGCAGCCCATCACTACAGTCTGACCCGAAGTCAAGCGGTCTACATTTATGAAAGGGGGGTTTACTACGAAATTGCACATAGCATTAGACCCCCCCCCATTAATCGACCCGGGGGTCTATAATACTGGGGGGTCCATTACCCGGGTAATTACGGTACAACATAGAAGACAATGCTTATTGTCCTACCTTGTTTGATAATCTATTTTCACGTCACCAATGAGCTGCTGCCATGCTCACCACATAACTAATTCGTTCTAGGTTGCCCTCTGGAGCACCAATCGCAGCATCCAAAACCCCAGGGACCCCAATCAGCGACGAATAATATTCCACAACATCCACCTCACTCTGTTCCTCCCTCCTCTCACCACCATTTGCTTTCTCATTCTTGAACCTGACTTGATCTCCCAACCTAAGTCTACACTCCTCGCCACACACATCCAACATCTCTTCTCTCCCAGTCGCCCACATCATGGCATCAGCGATTTCAGCTGCCACCCATGCATCATCCACCTCTTCCCTCTCCTCCTCCCACCCCACCCACTCCTCCCCACCAGCACATGCACCCCCTTCCCCGCTTTCCGCTCTTCCTCCCCATGGCCCTTGGTCAAGCAGCCTTTCATCTCTCTTAGCAAAGTCATCTGTAGCAAGAGGAGCATAACTTGGAAGAAAAGAGGGGTTGTGAGCTGCACCCGGGGAGTTCGCAGCAGCACTCAGAGAGACGTGCTTAGGTAAGTGATGGGCTGCTGAATCCACTGCTGAGTCGGTGACGGCTGTTGAAGCAGATGCTTCTGCAGATGCTTCAGAGGCAGCAGATTCTGCTGATGTTCCTGATGAGGAGGAGGAAGAAGGCTCAGGGGAGCAAGGGCGAGGGGAGCACGACGAGGAGGTGTTCACGGATCCAGAGTTGTTAGGAGCAGCAGGACTGTAGAGGGCATGCTCTTGGTGTAGCTGCTGCTGCTGCTGCTCTTGCTTGTCCCGGTGATGTTGATGCTGCTGCAGGTGATGGTGGTGGTGGTGCTGCTGCAGCTGCGGTTGTTGCTGGTGGTGGTGGTGAGGATGGTGGTGGTGGTGGTGGTGGTGGTGCTGCTGCTGCTGCTGCAGGTGATGGTGGTGGTCCTGGTGGTAATGCTGCTGCTGCTCTTGCTCCTCCTCCCCGTCCTCCTCCTGCTGTTGTTCCTGCCCCCCCTGCTGCATCCCCACTAGGGGTGACGTCACCGAGCAACCAGGCGACCCTGTTCCTCTCTCTCCCCTATCCTCTCCCAATCTCCCCTCCTCCTCCACCGAGAAGGAAAGGAAGGAGGACTCAGACGAATGCTCCATACCGCCTCGCACCCCATTCTCACCAGTCGCAAAAGGCTGTTCACACTGAATCTTTTGGGGCACCGCAAAGAAAGGGTCCATACCGTATTGCACCGCATTCTGACCAGGCGCAATTGGCCCTTCACCATACATCTCCCCCTCAGCAAGCCTTTCCTCGTCTCCACCCTCGTCTCCACCCTTGTCTCCACCCTCGTCTCCACCCTCGTCTCCACCCTCTTGTTCAGACTCCTCACCTGCGCCCTCAACTTCCCCTCCATCTTCTCCCTCTTCCCATCTCTCATCCTCTCTTAGTGCTTCTTGCTCTCCCTCGCCCTCCCCTTCCCACACTGCATGCACACTGTCTCGTTCAGTGGGCCCAGCTGCATGCATGCCTGTGCCGGCGGTCGTTGCGGATGCTCGGGCTGTGGTGGTGCAACCAAAGGGAAATAGGGGGGAAGGAGGAGGGGATGGGAGAGACAGAGAGGCCAGCAATGCAAGTGTGAGTCAGTGAATGTGCTTGTGGATTGCAAGTGTGAGTCAGTGAATGTGCTTGTGGATTGAAAGTGCCCACACCGCGTCCCCACTGTCTCATTCCGTGAGCTCTGATGCATGCATGCCTCAGTCAGCGGTTCTAACTGATGCTCGAGCTGCCATGGTGTAGCCATGCCCATGCCCATGCCCATGCCCATACCACATGCATGCCTCATTGTACCTGCTCCAGATGCTCGTTCGTGTCTCTGCCCAGCTGCCGAGTTGCCATACCCATGCCCGTGAATGTGACTCCCCTGCACAAACTCTGCCACAGCCGCCGCTACATCTGGCTCCACTGCCCTGTCTACCAGAGCGAGGAAGTCCGTGAGTTCCTGTATACGTACATGGGATGAGATGAGATGCGATGAGATAAGATGAGATGAGATGAGATGAGATGAGATGAGATGAGATGAGATGAGATGAGATGAGATGAGATGAGATGAGATGAGATGAGAGAGGATGCACAAGGGAGGTGAGCTTTGAGCCGCCGCTACGTCTGGCTCCACTGCACTCTCTAGCAGAGCGAGGAAGTCTGTCAGTTCCTGTGGACGTGTGAGAGGCGAGAGAGGAGTAAGAGAGGATAAAGAAAGGTCTAGGGGTATTTTGCTTGCAGGCTTTCACCATGCTGCTTGGCAGGCGGGTGTGGGGTTCTCCCCTGACGGTGCATGCACATATAAACCCATGAGCACTCTCATACACCAGGCCTGTAACGTACCGAGTCGGGGAGCGAATCAATGTGGCTCGCCAGGAAGGCAGGACCTATCTGTTCAACCACCTCCCCCAGACATCGCACTGCAGGCATGCGGGTCTTGGGGTCCTTGAGCAGTGGGAGGAGGCGAACGCCCCACTGCCGAATGCTCTTGGCTGGATGAGGTGGGGGAGGAGGGAAGGCGGGAGTCAATATTTGAGTCGACTCAACCACCTCGCCCAGGCACTGTGCTGATGGCATGCGGGTCTTGGGGTCCTTGAGCAGTGGGAGGAGGCGAACGCCCCACTGCCAAATGCTCTTGGCTGGATGAGGTGGGGGAGGAGGGAAGGCGGGAGTCAATATTTGAGTCGACTCAACCACCTCGCCCAGGCACTGTGCTGATGGCAGGCGGGTCTTGGGGTCCTTGAGCAGTGGGAGGAGGCGAACGTCCCACTGCCGAATGCTCTTGGCTGGATGGGAGGAAGGGTGGCGGGGAAGAAAGTAGTCGTTGGTGGCTTGAAGAGTGGGGGACCATTGGCAGGCGGGTCTTGGGGTCCTTGAGCAGTGGGAGGAGCCGAACGCCCCACTGCCGAATGCTCTTAACTCATGGCAGAGGGAGAGAGGGAGGGAGGGGGAGTGGGAGGGTCTTTCAACTGGGCACGATACAGTTGGGAAGGGAGGGAATGAATGCGCGTGTTTGAACGTGGATGAGTGAGCATGGAAAGGGAGAAGAACAAAAGCATATGCGCTGAAGCCAGCACGTAACACTCCTTAGTAATCGGCACCAGTTACTGCTCACTTTGGAGCAGAAACTGGAAACCGAAATCAGTCTAAATGAACGTTACAACACCAGCCAGAGGCTCACCTACCGCTGTGCCACTCCTGACTCAGGCCACTGCATTTCCACCACCCTGCCTCCCTTCCCTTGTAAACAGAGATGTTTACACGTCGCTGCCTCCCTTCCCTTGTAAACAGAGATGTTTACACGTCGCTGCCTCCCTTTCCTTGTAAACAGAGATGTCTACACGTCGCTGCCTCCCTTTCCTTGTAAACAGATATGTTTACAGGTCGCTGCCTCCCTTCCCTTGTAAACAGATATGTTTACAGGTCGCTGCCTCCCTTCCCTTGTAAACAGAGATGTTTACACGTCGCTGCCTCCCTTTCCTTGTAAACAGAGATGTTTACACGTCGCTGCCTCCCTTCCCTTGTAAACAGAGATGTTTACACGTCGCTGCCTCCCTTCCCTTGTAAACAGAGATGTTTACAGGTCGCTGCCTCCCTTCCCTTGTAAACAGAGATGTTTACACGTCGCTGCCTCCCTTCCCTTGTAAACAGAGATGTTTACACGTTGCTGCCTCCCTTCCCTTGTAAACAGAGATGTTTACACGTCGCTGCCTCCCTTCCCTTGTAAACAGAGATGTTTACACGTCGCTGCCTCCCTTCCCTTGTAAACAGAGATGTTTACACGTCGCTGCCTCCCTTCCCTTGTAAACAGAGATGTTTACACGTCGCTGCCTCCCTTCCCTTGTAAACAGAGATGTTTACACGTCACTGCCTCCCTTCCCTTGTAAACAGAGATGTTTACACGTCGCTGCCTCCCTTCCCTTGTAAACAGAGGTGTTTACACGTCGCTGCCTCCCTTCCCTTGTAAACAGAGATGTTTACACGTCGCTGCCTCCCTTCCCTTGTAAACAGAGATGTTTACACGTCGCTGCCTCCCTTCCCTTGTAAACAGAGATGTTTACACGTCGTTGCCTCCCTTTCCTTGTAAACAGAGATGTTTACACGTCGCTGCCTCCCTTCCCTTGTAAACAGAGATGTTTACACGTCGCTGCCTCCCTTCCCTTGTAAACAGAGATGTTTACACGTCGCTGCCTCCCTTCCCTTGTAAACAGAGATGTTTACACGTCGCTGCCTCCCTTCCCTTGTAAACAGAGATGTTTACACGTCGCTGCCTCCCTTCCCTTGTAAACAGAGATGTTTACACGTCACTGCCTCCCTTCCCTTGTAAACAGAGATGTTTACACGTCGCTGCCTCCCTTCCCTTGTAAACAGAGGTGTTTACACGTCGCTGCCTCCCTTCCCTTGTAAACAGAGATGTTTACACGTCGCTGCCTCCCTTCCCTTGTAAACAGAGATGTTTACACGTCGCTGCCTCCCTTCCCTTGTAAACAGAGATGTTTACACGTCGCTGCCTCCCTTCCCTTGTAAACAGAGATGTTTACACGTCGCTGCCTCCCTTCCCTTGTAAACAGAGATGTTTACACGTCGCTGCCTCCCTTCCCTTGTAAACAGAGATGTTTACACGTCGCTGCCTCCCTTCCCTTGTAAACAGAGATGTTTACACGTCGCTGCCTCCCTTCCCTTGTAAACAGAGATGTTTACACGTCGCTGCCTCCCTTTCCTTGTAAACAGAGATGTTCACACGTCGCTGCCTCCCTTCCCTTGTAAACAGAGATGTTTACACGTCGCTGCCTCCCTTCCCTTGTAAACAGAGATGTTTACACGTCGCTGCCTCCCTTCCCTTGTAAACAGAGATGTTTACACGTCGCTGCCTCCCTTCCCTTGTAAACAGAGATGTTTACACGTCGCTGCCTCCCTTCCCTTGTAAACAGAGATGTTTACACGTCGCTGCCTCCCTTTCCTTGTAAACAGAGATGTTTACACGTCGCTGCCTCCCTTCCCTTGTAAACAGAGATGTTTACACGTCGCTGCCTCCCTTCCCTTGTAAACAGAGATGTTTACACGTCGCTGCCTCCCTTCCCTTGTAAACAGAGATGTTTACACGTCGCTGCCTCCCTTCCCTTGTAAACAGAGATGTTTACACGTCGCTGCCTCCCTTCCCTCTTCTCCTCTCCACCGTACTCCCCCTATCCTCCTCCCTCGCACGCTAGTGGCTAGAGGCTCACCTTCCGCTGTGCTCCTTCTGACCCGAGCCATTGCAACCCCACCACGCTGCCTCCCTTCTTCCCCCTCCTCTCCTCCATCCGCCCTCTCCCCTTCTTCCTCCCTCTCCTCCTCTCTCCCAGCCCTCCCCCTCAGCACAAGCAGTGCGAATTCCACCACACACACCCTCACCCGCGGCCCCCTCTGCCACTCCAAAGCCCTCCCCAGCACCAGCATTAGCACAGAACAATGACTCACCTTCTGCTGTGCTTCTCCTGACTCGGGCCGCTGCATTGCCGCCACGCTGCCTCGAATCCTCCCCCTCCTCTTCACCGTCTCCCCCCTCCCCCTCCGCCTCTCTCCCCGCCCTCCCCTTCAGCACCTGCTCTGCAAACTCCACCACACTCACTCTCACCCTCGGGCCCCTCTGCCCCTCCAAAGCCCTCTCCAGCACCGGCAGCAGCACCTGCACAGCCTCCCCCTCTCCCCCTCTCAACCCCTCTCCACTCCTCCCCACCTCACCCAACCCCCCATTCACCCCTCCACACCCATCTCCACGCCTAAACCAGCTGTTTAAAGCACAATCCAGTATCCCCTCTGCCTGTGCTCGCATACGATCCTTTCCAGTGTCAGCCACGCGGGAGAAGAGAGGGGGGAGCCATTTGTCAAGGTGGGGAGGGAAGAGGATGGGCGGGCAGTGCAGCACGAGGTCTTCTAGAAGGGACAAAGCTGAGGAGGCGACTTTGGTGTGGGCGAATTCCATCCCCGCTACTAGCAGCTCCACTACTCTGTCCAGGTGCTGCCAGGGGTGGAAAGCAGGGGAGAAGAGAGGGGGAAGCCATTTGTCAAGGTGGGGGGGGGGGAGAGAGGATGGGCGGGCAGTGCAGCACGAGGTCTTCTAGGAGAGACAAAGCTGAGGAGGCAACCTTGGTGTGGGCGAACTCCATCCGCTGCTAGCGCCACTACTCTGTCCAGGTGCTCCAGGGGCGGAAAATGGGGGAGAAAGGGGAAAATGGTGATGAAGCAGACTCTTTCACCTCTGCCAACCCCCAAGCACCTAACCCACTTCCCACCCCCATGCACCTTCACAACGGCCTGAACACCCTCGCGACTTACCCCATCCTCCTCCCCCCTTCTTCCATCCGTATAAACTTGACATTCTGACCTCATTACCCAACCCCATGCATCCCCACTGCCCAACCCCATGCATCCCCACTGCCCAACCCCATGCATCCCCACTGCCCAACCCCATGCATCCCCACTGCCCAACCCCATGCATCCCCACTGCCCAACCCCATGCACGCACCTTCATAACGGTATGAACACCCTTGCGGCTCACTCCATCCTCCTCGCCTCCTCCCCACGCCGCCACGTCCCCTCCACCCATCGCACACCCCCTCACAGCCTCTAATGCCGCCACCCGTCTCGACCAGTCACAACCCTTCCGCAACCCCTCCTCTACCTTCGCCCTCATCTCCTCCCCCACATCCCTCTGCTGATGCTGCAGCTTATTTCGCTGTGTCCGATCCCTCCCTCCTACCCCTGCTCCTCCTGTTACCCCCATCCCGCCAGCCCCATAACTGGTGGCTATACTCCGTCTAGCAGGTCTGGGAGCAACAGCAGCAGCAGCAGCAGCCGCAGAAGGAGGTAGGGATGCCCGTGCGCGAGCAGTAGGGGGTGGGGAGTGGTTAGCATGTCGTGGTGGCATAGACGCTCGTGGTGCGTGCTGCTGCTGATGGTGCTGATGATGGTGCTGCTGCTGCTGCTGATGATGATGATGATGTGCTGTTTGCACGGCTCCAGGCAACGAGCCTCTTCTCCTGCCAGCGCCTGCTCCGGCTGCTGCTGCTGCTGCTGCTGTTCCTCCTGCAGCTGTTTCTGCTGCTGCTGCTGCTGCTGCTGTTCCTCCTGCAGCTGTTGCTGCATTCGCACCAGGCCTAACAAGCCCACCCGCTGCTCTCGTCCTCTCCTCGCCCATCCCCCCACCACTCTCCTCACTCACTCGCACTAACCCCCCAACAGACCTCCTAGCATGCACCGCCCTCCTCTCCCCACCAGCACCCCCAATCCCAACCCCCCCAATCCCACCTCCCCCAATTCCGCCTCCACTCACGTTCCCCGTTCTCACCCCAACGCCCGTCCCCGCCTGCGGCCCCCTTTCCCCAACTCCCCCCTTCCCCTCCGCCTCCCGTTCCCCCAGCGCCCCTCGCCCCACCCTGTTCGCAGCTGTCCCTAGTGGCCGGGACGGCACTAGGCCCTCGAGATTAGTTGACGCGGCAATGCTGTGCCTCTGCCTCCTCGGCCCAACCCCACAGTCACCTCCTCCCACTTCCACTGCTCCACCCCATCTCCCCTGCACGTTCTCCTTCATAGGAACATCGTCTTTAGAAACACGCGTCACACCAGCAGCACTACCAGCACCAGCACCACGAACACCACCAGCACCAGCACCAGCACCAGCACCACGAACACCACCAGCACCAGCACCAGCACCAGCACCACGAACACCACCAGCACCAGCACTAGCAGCAGCACCACCAGCACTGCGGCTAGCAAAGTCAAAGTCCAAAACACGGACTATCTTGGGGGATAGGTTCGCCTCAGTCCCAGGTGAACCTTCCCCAGATGACACCCCGTCTCTTGCAGAATCAACATCATAATCATCACTCTCAGCAGCGGCAGAACCAGCTGCAGTGTCAGTCTCACTCGTTGATATCACTCTCTGTGGACCAATCCGTTCTCCCCTCCCAGCTACCCCAGCAACCCTGGATCCCACAACACCTGCTGCCCCTGCTGCTACAGCTGCTTTTGCTGCTTCTGCTCCTCCTAGCCCTGCTACAACCCCTTCTCGCTCTCCTCCACGTCCTCCCCCTCCGCCTGCTCCTGCCACGACTCTCACCGCTGCTGCAGCAGCAGCTGTGCCCTGTGCACCCAGCCTCACACCCCTCACCAGCCCCATCCCACCTCCTCCTCCCCCTCCACCCCTTCCGTCCCCTCCTCCCCCACCACTGCTTGCAGCAGCAGCACTACCAGAGGCGATATCCCCCCTGACAGGCTGACCGGCTACATAGTTCAAACTAAGGCTCGCCAGTCCCCCTCTCGCACTCTCAACTGCAGCAGCCGTACGAGCCGTACCAGCTGTAGCAGTAGCAGCAGAACCAGCAGTGGCAGTACCGGTTGTAGCAGCAGTAGCAGCTGTAGCAGCGGCTGTAGCGGCGGCTGTAGCAGAGGCAGCCTGTCGTCTAGCAGCCATGAGGTTCCCGAGGGCAGCAGAGGAGCGAGGCAGGATGGGCTGGGGGCTGCGAGCACGCGAGGGCGAGGGGCGGGGAGGCGGGTCCCTCTTAGAGTGTGCTGACAGCGCTGCTGATTTGTCCTCCTGAGCCAATACCTGGGAAGGAGGAAGCAGGAAGAAGGAAAGAGGAAAGAGGAAGCAGGAAGGAGGAAAGAGGAAAGAGGAAGCAGGAAGGAGGAAAGAGGAAAGAGGAAAGAGGAAGCAGGAAGGAGGAAAGAGGAAAGTGGAAGTAGGAAGCAGGAAGGAGGAAAGAGGAAAGAGGAAAGAGGAAGACCATAGACATATGAGGAGAGGAGCCCTTGGCTGGAGCGAAGAGCCCACATGATAGGAAAGGAACGAATACCATATCGCACCTTCTCCCATTCTTCTCACCTCCCCGCTTCCCGACCTCCCCACCTCGCCCACCTCCCCACCTTGCCACCTCCTCACCTTCTGCACAGTGACGTCAAACGAGGAGTGCAGCCGGGCAAGGAGTTTGAGGCGGGTGCGGTGACACGACCAGAGGGGACACTGCCCAGCCAACAACTTCTCACCTTCTTAGAACCTCTCCATCTCGCCACCTCACCACCCCCCCACCTTCCCACCTTGCCACCTCCTCACCTTCTGCACCGTGACGTCAAACGAGGAGTGCAGCCGGGCGGCCCTCTCCGGCCACAAGTGGGAAAACTCCCGGAAGCTGCGCCTGGCTGTGGCTCGCACCTGATAAGTTAGAGGGGAGACGATGTGTGGAAGGAGAGGGAGAGGGCATGAGAGAGGGCATGTGAGAGTGGAGCGAGGGAGGCTGCAAATGAACGTGGAGCGAGGGAGGCTGCAAATGAACGTGGAGCGAGGGAGGCTGCAAATGAACGTGGAGCGAGGGAGGCTGCAAATGAACGTGGAGCGAGGGAGGCTGCAAATGAACGTGGAGCGAGGGAGGCTGCAAATGAACGTGGAGCGAGGGAGGCTGCAAATGAACGTGGAGCGAGGGAGGCTGCAAATGAACGTGGAGCGAGGGAGGCTGCAAATGAACGTGGAGCGAGGGAGGCTGCAAATGAACGTGGAGCGAGGGAGGCTGCAAATGAACGTGGAGCGAGGGAGGCTGCAAATGAACGTGGAGCGAGGGAGGCTGCAAATGAACGTGGAGCGAGGGAGGCTGCAAATGAACGTGGAGCGAGGGAGGCTGCAAATGAACGTGGAGCGAGGGAGGCTGCAAATGAACGTGGAGCGAGGGAGGCTGCAAATGAACGTGGAGCGAGGGAGGCTGCAAATGAACGTGGAGCGAGGGAGGCTGCAAATGAACGTGGAGCGAGGGAGGCTGCAAATGAACGTGGAGCGAGGGAGGCTGCAAATGAACGTGGAGCGAGGGAGGCTGCAAATGAACGTGGAGCGAGGGAGGCTGCAAATGAACGTGGAGCGAGGGAGGCTGCAAATGAACGTGGAGCGAGGGAGGCTGCAAATGAACGTGGAGCGAGGGAGGCTGCAAATGAACGTGGAGCGAGGGAGGCTGCAAATGAACGTGGAGCGAGGGAGGCTGCAAATGAACGTGGAGCGAGGGAGGCTGCAAATGAACGTGGAGCGAGGGAGGATGCAAATGAACGTGGGGCGAGGGAGGCTGCAAATGAACGTGGAGCGAGGGAGGCTGCAAATGAACGTGGAGCGAGGGAGGCTGCAAATGAACGTGGAGCGAGGGAGGCTGCAAATGAACGTGGAGCGAGGGAGGCTGCAAATGAACGTGGAGCGAGGGAGGCTGCAAATGAACGTGGAGCGAGGGAGGCTGCAAATGAACGTGGAGCGAGGGAGGCTGCAAATGAACGTGGAGCGAGGGAGGCTGCAAATGAACGTGGAGCGAGGGAGGCTGCAAATGAACGTGGAGCGAGGGAGGCTGCAAATGAACGTGGAGCGAGGGAGGCTGCAAATGAACGTGGAGCGAGGGAGGCTGCAAATGAACGTGGAGCGAGGGAGGCTGCAAATGAACGTGGAGCGAGGGAGGCTGCAAATGAACGTGGAGCGAGGGAGGCTGCAAATGAACGTGGAGCGAGGGAGGCTGCAAATGAACGTGGAGCGAGGGAGGCTGCAAATGAACGTGGAGCGAGGGAGGCTGCAAATGAACGTGGAGCGAGGGAGGCTGCAAATGAACGTGGAGCGAGGGAGGCTGCAAATGAACGTGGAGCGAGGGAGGCTGCAAATGAACGTGGAGCGAGGGAGGCTGCAAATGAACGTGGAGCGAGGGAGGCTGCAAATGAACGTGGAGCGAGGGAGGCTGCAAATGAACGTGGAGCGAGGGAGGCTGCAAATGAACGTGGAGCGAGGGAGGCTGCAAATGAACGTGGAGCGAGGGAGGCTGCAAATGAACGTGGAGCGAGGGAGGCTGCAAATGAACGTGGAGCGAGGGAGGCTGCAAATGAACGTGGAGCCGAGGGAGGCTGCAAATGAACGTGGAGCGAGGGAGGCTGCAAATGAACGTGGAGCGAGGGAGGCTGCAAATGAACGTGGAGCGAGGGAGGCTGCAAATGAACGTGGAGCGAGGGAGGCTGCAAATGAACGTGGAGCGAGGGAGGCTGCAAATGAACGTGGAGCGAGGGAGGCTGCAAATGAACGTGGAGCGAGGGAGGCTGCAAATGAACGTGGAGCGAGGGAGGCTGCAAATGAACGTGGAGCGAGGGAGGCTGCAAATGAACGTGGAGCGAGGGAGGCTGCAAATGAACGTGGAGCGAGGGAGGCTGCAAATGAACGTGGAGCGAGGGAGGCTGCAAATGAACGTGGAGCGAGGGAGGCTGCAAATGAACGTGGAGCGAGGGAGGCTGCAAATGAACGTGGAGCGAGGGAGGCTGCAAATGAACGTGGAGCGAGGGAGGCTGCAAATGAACGTGGAGCGAGGGAGGCTGCAAAATGATACGTGGAGCGAGGGAGGCTGCAAATGAACGTGGAGCGAGGGAGGCTGCAAATGAACGTGGAGCGAGGGAGGCTGCAAATGAACGTGGAGCGAGGGAGGCTGCAAATGAACGTGGAGCGAGGGAGGCTGCAAATGAACGTGGAGCGAGGGAGGCTGCAAATGAACGTGGAGCGAGGGAGGCTGCAAATGAACGTGGGGCGAGGGAGGATGCAAATGAACGTGGGGCGAGGGAGGCTGCAAATGAACGTGGAGCGAGGGAGGCTGCAAATGAACGTGGAGCGAGGGAGGCTGCAAATGAACGTGGAGCGAGGGAGGCTGCAAATGAACGTGGAGCGAGGGAGGCTGCAAATGAACGTGGAGCGAGGGAGGCTGCAAATGAACGTGGAGCGAGGGAGGCTGCAAATGAACGTGGAGCGAGGGAGGCTGCAAATGAACGTGGAGCGAGGGAGGCTGCAAATGAACGTGGAGCGAGGGAGGCTGCAAATGAACGTGGAGCGAGGGAGGCTGCAAATGAACGTGGAGCGAGGGAGGCTGCAAATGAACGTGGAGCGAGGGAGGCTGCAAATGAACGTGGAGCGAGGGAGGCTGCAAATGAACGTGGAGCGAGGGAGGCTGCAAATGAACGTGGAGCGAGGGAGGCTGCAAATGAACGTGGAGCGAGGGAGGCTGCAAATGAACGTGGAGCGAGGGAGGCTGCAAATGAACGTGGAGCGAGGGAGGCTGCAAATGAACGTGGAGCGAGGGAGGCTGCAAATGAACGTGGAGCGAGGGAGGCTGCAAATGAACGTGGAGCGAGGGAGGCTGCAAATGAACGTGGAGCGAGGGAGGCTGCAAATGAACGTGGAGCGAGGGAGGCTGCAAATGAACGTGGAGCGAGGGAGGCTGCAAATGAACGTGGAGCGAGGGAGGCTGCAAATGAACGTGGAGCGAGGGAGGCTGCAAATGAACGTGGAGCGAGGGAGGCTGCAAATGAACGTGGAGCGAGGGAGGCTGCAAATGAACGTGGAGCGAGGGAGGCTGCAAATGAACGTGGAGCGAGGGAGGCTGCAAATGAACGTGGAGCGAGGGAGGCTGCAAATGAACGTGGAGCGAGGGAGGCTGCAAATGAACGTGGAGCGAGGGAGGCTGCAAATGAACGTGGAGCGAGGGAGGCTGCAAATGAACGTGGAGCGAGGGAGGCTGCAAATGAACGTGGAGCGAGGGAGGCTGCAAATGAACGTGGAGCGAGGGAGGCTGCAAATGAACGTGGAGCGAGGGAGGCTGCAAATGAACGTGGAGCGAGGGAGGCTGCAAATGAACGTGGAGCGAGGGAGGCTGCAAATGAACGTGGAGCGAGGGAGGCTGCAAATGAACGTGGGGCGAGGGAGGCTGCAAATGAACGTGGGGCGAGGGAGGCTGCAAATGAACGTGGGGCGAGGGAGGCTGCAAATGAACGTGGAGCGAGGGAGGCTGCAAATGAACGTGGAGCGAGGGAGGCTGCAAATGAACGTGGAGCGAGGGAGGCTGCAAATGAACGTGGAGCGAGGGAGGCTGCAAATGAACGTGGAGCGAGGGAGGCTGCAAATGAACGTGGAGCGAGGGAGGCTGCAAATGAACGTGGAGCGAGGGAGGCTGCAAATGAACGTGGAGCGAGGGAGGCTGCAAATGAACGTGGAGCGAGGAAGGCTGCAAATGAACGTGGAGCGAGGGAGGCTGCAAATGAACGTGGAGCGAGGGAGGCTGCAAATGAACGTGGAGCGAGGGAGGCTGCAAATGAACGTGGAGCGAGGGAGGCTGCAAATGAACGTGGAGCGAGGGAGGCTGCAAATGAACGTGGAGCGAGGGAGGCTGCAAATGAACGTGGAGCGAGGGAGGCTGCAAATGAACGTGGAGCGAGGGAGGCTGCAAATGAACGTGGAGCGAGGGAGGCTGCAAATGAACGTGGAGCGAGGGAGGCTGCAAATGAACGTGGAGCGAGGGAGGCTGCAAATGAACGTGGAGCGAGGGAGGCTGCAAATGAACGTGGAGCGAGGGAGGCTGCAAATGAACGTGGAGCGAGGGAGGCTGCAAATGAACGTGGAGCGAGGGAGGCTGCAAATGAACGTGGAGCGAGGGAGGCTGCAAATGAACGTGGAGCGAGGGAGGCTGCAAATGAACGTGGAGCGAGGGAGGCTGCAAATGAACGTGGAGCGAGGGAGGCTGCAAATGAACGTGGAGCGAGGGAGGCTGCAAATGAACGTGGAGCGAGGGAGGCTGCAAATGAACGTGGAGCGAGGGAGGCTGCAAATGAACGTGGAGCGAGGGAGGCTGCAAATGAACGTGGAGCGAGGGAGGCTGCAAATGAACGTGGAGCGAGGGAGGCTGCAAATGAACGTGGAGCGAGGGAGGCTGCAAATGAACGTGGAGCGAGGGAGGCTGCAAATGAACGTGGAGCGAGGGAGGCTGCAAATGAACGTGGAGCGAGGGAGGCTGCAAATGAACGTGGAGCGAGGGAGGCTGCAAATGAACGTGGAGCGAGGGAGGCTGCAAATGAACGTGGAGCGAGGGAGGCTGCAAATGAACGTGGAGCGAGGGAGGCTGCAAATGAACGTGGAGCGAGGGAGGCTGCAAATGAACGTGGAGCGAGGGAGGCTGCAAATGAACGTGGAGCGAGGGAGGCTGCAAATGAACGTGGAGCGAGGGAGGCTGCAAATGAACGTGGAGCGAGGGAGGCTGCAAATGAACGTGGGGCGAGGGAGGCTGCAAATGAACGTGGGGCGAGGGAGGCTGCAAATGAACGTGGGGCGAGGGAGGCTGCAAATGAACGTGGAGCGAGGGAGGCTGCAAATGAACGTGGAGCGAGGGAGGC